AATGGAGCACCATTAAACCAAGCAAATAAATTGGAGACAAATAAAACAGCCAGACATCGCTTCACAGTACTAATAGTTTATATCAACGTGCATACAATCTTTGAATTTGACTATCCTGGCTTTTCGGGTGCTAAAGCGGCCATAATGATCGTTTACAATCAAACAAAAAACCTTATCTTTGCCCGCAACGTTTTCTTTGTCCGTAACGTTTTCTTTGCCACCGCTCGCTCCATCTTCCGCACCATTGTCTTCGCCCGGGCAGATTCTTCGGGCTCTGCCGATAGTTCGCTCAGTCTAGCGGCTAGCGACGCCTTTGCGCCGCTTGCGTTTACACCTACAGCAGCGCACCAGCTTTTTAATTACAGAAGCGAGTACTTCTCTGCGTTGACTCCTTCGGGCTCCATATTTTGTTATTTTGTAGGAATGGTTCTAACGACCACTTCTGATGAAATATGCACGCACGTTTGGTCTTTAAAATATCCCCTTACTTTGCTGCTCCAAGTGTGTAAATGTGCACGTACTCCAAGATGATAGATGTACAGGTGCTCCAAATTATAGATGTGAACGGACTCGACGTTTTACCAAAATATTCTCAGAATACAATTGACTTCTCGGCTCCGCTATTCGATTCAAAGTGCCTTTATTTTATGTTATTTTTCTGACAAGCGTTCTTACGAGTGTTGCCAGACTTTTTGGACCAACCGGCTAAATTGGCAAAAAAACCGGCTAAAAACCGCTAAACTGTTTCAACTAAATTTCACATGTTTTATTTAAATAAATAACGAGTAGAAAGACTATTTCTTGGAGAGAAGTTACAAATTCAAGCAGGAAAAAATTTTGCCAGCAAGAATTTGCAATTAGGAAACACATATGATTGTGGCACATGGTTGGATTTTTTGTCGACAATAATTTGAATAAGCAAGTTCGTTAAATTTACAAACTTTAGCGATTTAAAAATGAAAAATGTAAGTAAATACTTATTTACTTAATTAATTTAGTTAATTCCAATGGTTTGAAAGGTACTCGGCAAAAAAAACTGTATTCGTAATCGGAATGCAATCTCAACCAGAGTCGATATAGTATACCCGACAAAGAAATTGAAACGTATGTTGAAGAAAGTCGGACTGACAAGATATATACCTGTAGATCCTATTTTTGCCCCTCTGAAAGAATTTTAAAAATTCTATACAAATTTCATTTGTTTGAAATGCAACCGTGGACAATAGCTGGCAGAAGAACTTGCAAATTCCTGCAAATTTGCGTTCGTACAGAAAATTGCAAGTTTCTCTACTTGAAAGAGAATTGGGGAGCATTTTTCTTACTATCTGATATTTTGAGTGATAATTCTCGCTGGATTTTCGACGAACAAACCTATTGTCTTCCCAAAAAGGACTTTTCGGACTGACCGATTGTCAATACACTCAAATAAAAACCAATACACATAAAAAGCGTTGTAAAAATTCCCCTTCAATTTTAAGGCAGTAAAACAGAGACCTTAAGTTTACATCAAACGAGGCCATATGTTGACAGGGGATGCAAAATCACAGTTACACAAAAGAACTGGTCAGATTTTTCAGAAATTCAATTCCAATATGATTCCAAAAGGCTGCAGATCTCCCATTTAGATGACCGGTCATATGACCGGCAGATGTCTTATAGGGTTCCCAGAAAGTTTTGCTTTACATAGCAATTTGTGCTCTTTTATTTTCATTTTGACGCATTTCAGTGTTAGTTCTTTTAATTCAAGTTGGCATTCGGTTTTTGGAATTTAAATAAGTTCTCAGCAAAAAAGTTTGTTTAAAAAATACATATGTGTACATAGTGCTTGAAAATATAAATTTTTCCCTTACCTTAAACTTTTGAGAGTGGGCAAAAATGATGTTTTGTAATTAAGGCAGATTTGAATATGCGCTATCTGTACGGTGACCATATTTATGCGAGCCGCATACGGGACAAACAAAAATTTTTCAAATTTTTTCGATAAAAGCTAACAGATCTTAACACCTTCTTAAATTTTCTTAGATGTGTGTATTAGCCCTGAAACAGCATCCTTATAGTAACATCACACATTTGTAGTATATATTTTCTCGAGATTTTTATTCCACAAAATTTTTTACAAAAGTTTCTTTAAATTTAAATACGACGAAGTGCAAGTTTTAACTAGCCAGGAC